CGCTTTGCACATACGGATTCCGGCTAGTAAAGCTTCGTATTCTGCCTCGTTGTTTGAGGCCTGAAAATTGAAACGTAGAGCATACTCGTACATGTCGCCCTCTGGCGACTGACATATGACACCTGCTCCACAACCATTTGAGGTGGAGCTCCCGTCCACATATACCTTCCAGACTTGGTCTGGAACTTGAGAATCAGGGGGACGAGTCATTTCAACAATAAAATCAGCAAAGGCTTGCCCCTTCACTGCTTTTCTAGGCTCGAAGGTGACTTCGAGGCTCTGAATTTCTATGACCCATTTGATCATCCGGCCTGACAACTCCATGGTGGTCAGTGGCCGCTTGATAGGTTGATCTGTATACACAACGACTGCATGTGCCAAGAAGTAGGGCTTCAATTTTTTGACGGCCATGAAGAGAGCGAGGCCGAACTTCTCCACTAAGGGATACCTCAACTCGGCATTTTTCAGTACATGGCTAACAAAGTAGACCGGGAGCTGGCAGCCGTCTCTTTCAGAATGAAGAACAGCACTTAAAGCATGATCTGAGACGGCCAGATACATGTAAAGCTCTTCTTTGGGCAAATGACTGACCAGCCTCGGCAAGGAATGTAAATGAACTTTCAATTTTTGGAAGGCCGCCTCAGCATTCGGCCCCCATTCAAACCTTGCTTTCATCTTAATGGCCTAGAAAAAGTATAGGCATTTGTCGCCTGATCGGCTTAGAAATCTTCCCAAGGCCGCCAGATAACCTGTTAGCTTCTGAACCTCTCGGACGGTGCGAGGCGACTGCATGTCAATGACCGCCTGCACTTTCTCAGGGTTCGCCTCTATTCCTCTCTGATTGATGAGGAATCCGAGAAATTTCCCAGACTCAACCCCAAATACACATTTCTTGGGATTGAGCATGACATGGTGCCACCTGAGTGTGGCGAAAGTTTCTCGGAGGTCTGACAGATGATCTATCTGAAGCTTAGACTTAACAATCATATCATCAATGTATGCCTCGACGTTCCTCCCAATCTGATCAAAGAAAACAGTATTTATCATTCTTTGGAAGGTGGTCGGGGCATTCTTCAGACCAAACGGCATGACCGTGTAGCAGTATAACCCTTGATCAGTGACGAAGGCCGTCTTCTCCTGGTCTTTCTTCCACAAAGGAATTTGATGAAAGCTAGAGTACGCGTCCATAAAGCTCATCAAAGCATGGCCGGCTGTTGAGTCAACCAGATTATCAATTTTGGGCAGAGGGTAACTATCCTTGGGGCACGCCTTGTTTAGGTCCGTGTAGTCCACACACATTTGCCAGGTACCATTCGGCTTTTCAACAAGCACTACATTTGCAACCCAGTATGGGAAGTAACATTTCCGAATGAACCCTGCATCAAGGAGTTTCTTAACTTCGGCGGCTGCCGCCTGACTTCTCTCTTCGCCATGGTTCCGCTTCTTCTGCCTTACCGGCTTCTTTTTTGGATCCACGGCCAGTTTATGTACCGCCAGGTCAGGACTGATGCCTGACATTTCATGGACTTCGAATGCAAATATGTCTTTGTATTCTTTCAAAAGTTGATGGAAATCTTTACCCAGAACTCTCAGAGCAGTCGTCCCAACCTTGACTGTTCGGTCAGGGTGCGAGTCGTCTAGGATCAGGTCCGAATGCTCAACAGCCGGCTGAGGGCGGAATTCGTCTGACCGCTCCTCTGCCAATGATTACTATCTTTTCTCTTTTCTTGCGGCCCCCAACTAGGAAGCCTTTCTTTTCTTGTCGCCTGCTTCTTGAGCAGGCGCATTCTCCTTGACAACGTCAAGGTCTGTTTTTTCCACCACTTGACCCAGCGGCCATGACAGTGGGTTTGATATCCGAGAGGTATCACTCTCGGGCCATCTTTTGATCTCCCCTTAGGGAGCCGACTGTTCCGTCATCCCTCTCAAATTTGAGCAACATAAGAGACGGGATTATAACAGCCTTTGAATTATTCAGGGTTGGTCGTCCCAGAATCATGTTGTAGGCCGAGAGTTCCTCAACTACCAGGAACCGGACCACCATGTGGCGACCTTCCCCTTTTTCACCCAGGCGGACGGGTAAATCCACTCGTCCTACCGGGTGGACGACTCCTCCTCCAAACCCTACTAGAGGGTGGGATACCGGGTGTATGCAATCAGTCTGGTATTTGAGCTTTGACAGACATTTGCTACTGATAAGGTCTGAGGAACTGCCGGTATCTATGAGGATTCGGCCAACTCTCTGGTTGGCCACTTTGCATTCAATAACAATGGGGTCGTCATGCGGCCCCTCACCCCTCCTAATTCCTCTTTAGTGATGACAATTTCAGGAAATGAATTTTTGGAGGGCCGCTCTTGGTGAACGGAATTGACGTCTAGCCGCCTGATATTGTCCTTGTTGCCCCTGATAGTGGGGCCGCCTCCTGAGAAGCCGCCTGCAATGGTGTAGACGACTGCATCATCTGTATCAGAGCTGTCGGCTTGTTGATTCTTTTTGGCCGACTGCTTTTTCGAGGAAGCGTTTCCCTTAGATTTCTTGACATAAGAGTCAAGATCGCCTTGTTCAGCCAGGCGGTCCAGATACCGCATGAGACTGATGCATTCGTTGGTTTCATGACCAACGTCTTCATGATAATGACAGAATTTTTCTTGGTTCCGATTGCTTGCAGAACCCTTCATGGGGGCCGGCTTCTCAATTGAGATCCGTCCCTTAATTTCTTTTAGGATAGCTTGGCTATCCTTGTTAAACGCATACTTTGGGGAGTATGGTTTGAATTATTTCTTCTTCTTCTGGGCCGGCTGTTTAGAGGAATCAGCCGCCCAGACCTCTTTTCTCTTCTTATCATCTTTGTTGGACGACTGCTTCTGTCGCCCTTCTTTTTTGTCAGACCTCCTTCCGTCCGACTGCTTTCCAGTACTACAGAGATCAGTCGCCTGTATATAAGCTTCTGCTTCGATCAAGGCTTCTTGAAGAGTCGCCACCCTCTTTCGAACCAAATCAAATTTGAAGGTCGACCCGTCCTTGAGACCTCTGAAAAAGTCAGTATAGGCCACCTCATCCGGTAGCCCTTGAATCTGTATCCTCATCAGGTTGAACCGCCTGATATAAGAACGAAGCCCCTCCTTCTCGCCCTGCTAAATCGTCCCTAAATCAAGGGTCGTCTTCTTCGCAGGTATGTTCATGGCAAAATTGGAGGTGAACAAGTAAGCAAGTGTCCTGAAGTTATTCACACAACCAGTCGACAGGTTGCCGAACCATTGTTGTGCGATTCCTTTAAGAGTTGCTGGAAAACACTTGCACCAAGTGGGATCATCCAACCCTTGAAGGTACATCAGGTTGGTGAATGCCATCAAATGGTCTTCTGGGTTAGTAGTGCCGTCATAGGCACCTACTAACACATTTTTAACTTAAGCCGACTGAGCGGCTTCAGTAATTTCCTTGGAGAAAGCCGACGGCTGTTCTCCAAGTCTAAGCAACTGTAGCTGTTAGTCCAGAGGTTGGACATTTTTTGCTGCCTGTCCTCCAAACATAGGTGACTGCAGGAAGTATTGTTGTTGCGGTACAAAGGGTAAGTTTGGTACCGCCTGGTCGTTATGAAAACCAGACCGACGGGAGGTACCGTCTGTCTGACTCCCATGATTTGACTGAGTATACCTCATAGAGGTATTGCACAGACTATCTTGAAACTCTGAAGTAGAGGCCGACTCGGACAGTCGGTCGTTCTTCTTCTGTTCTAGCAATAGCCGAGCGTCTGTGTATGTTTTCTTCGACCCATCCGCCTGTATATGACGAACGGGCTTCCTCTTTCCTGGAGTAGGAAAGCGGTAATTTGTGAAATCAAGCGCAGGCGGCTCCCACTTCCTAGAGTTAGGATGAGGGGTCGCCTCTCGTCCTTGAACAAGCTTCCTCTTCCCTGAAGAGGAAGGTTTCTTAGCCGACTGCTCCTTGGCCAGAGCAGGCATCCTTTTGTTGATCAATTCCTGAATCTCTCCCTTGAAGCCCCTCATGAAGGTCATGAGTTCGTTTCTTGTAATGGGAGCAGATCCTTCAGCCGGCTGCTGCTGAGCAGGCGGTGCGCCGACTGGATTACTGAGTCCAGTTTGAGGATCTTCCCGTTCTCTCCTTTCGGTATGACGGGTACGCCAGGCCCTTAGGGTCCCGTCTGAAGCTGTATGTGCTTCAACTTCAACCTCTTCTTCGGTATCATGATCCGACTGAACTTGAGGGTCGTCCAGGGGACGCCTCTCTTCTGGAGTCGGTACAGACATGGATGTCATCTCAAAAGTACTCTCCCCACAGACAGCGCCAAAATGTTTCGGGGTTTTCTGATGTCCTGCGGGAGAGTTACAATTCCGAGACTGGAACCGGACGCCTACACCTGCAAAACAAACGGATACTCCGAGTGATCGGAGATCCGCCTCCAACGGTCAAGTTAGTACTTGTTTAGGGAGTAATTAATGCGGAATAACGTGATTGAGTCTCTCTAGGTGAGAGTGTTTTTTGTGTGTCCTCTTCCTTTAATGAGGGTTAATGAAGGTACTTATAACCTTGGGATGCGTGCCACTCTCTAGGTTTAGGTTAAACCTAGGGCTGACTGGGCCTCCCACAAGGATTGGGCCTTGTTGGCCGGTTTTCCCATTTGGCATGGGGGGACACGTGTCATGTCACAATTGGTCCATGGTGGACGTATCTCTGATTGACACGTGGCAGGCTCCTATTTGCCCCTGTGAAGGACACGTGGCGGAACCTGGTTGGTCCACTTGTCAGATGGTGATTGGTGGATAAAAATCCCCTAATCAATTTTGATGAAGAGTTGTTTTTAGATGTGGACCAACTGTTATCAGAGGAAGCAATGGCAGAAATGTATTATGATGAACAAGAAGAATTGCAAGATGAGGATATTGAGCAATATGAATCAGAAAATGAAAACAAGCAAGAAGAACAATAACAAACAGACAGTGGGGACCAGGGCACAGAGCACAGTTAGGGAAACCAGCACATGCAACAAGAGGCAGAGCAAGGGACTCAAGCTGCTAGTAGAAAACAGCTAATTTTGCAAAAGAAAAGAGAGATTGTTGATGCAATGCTGGTTACAATGCAAGATGGCATGTTACCTAAGGGACACATGAAAAATTTATCAATCCAATTCAGAGTTCACAAGTCAACAATCAGTAGAGTTTTCACTGGCATTAAAAAGCAAATGGCACAGGGGAATATGATAGATGTCAGGACTAAAAAGTATGGGAGAACTGGTCCAAAGCCAAGGGAATTTTCAGATGAATTCCTATAGTCAGTTCCTCTGTATCTGAGGCAAACTGAGAGAAGTTATGCAGCTGCTCTGAAGATTTCACATGTAACTCTTCACAATTTGAAGAAAAAGGGGAGGCTCAGACACATACATGCAGCAACAAGCCTGCTCTCACAGCAGATCACAAGGTGGCTAGACTCAAATGGGTACTGTCACACATTAACCCAGTCACAGCAAAAGGGGACCCCACTTTTGTTGCAATGGATCAAGTCTTACATATAGATGAAAAGTGGTTTTACCTCAATCCTGACAAGAGAAGATTTTATCTCCTGTCAGGTGAGGAAGACCCTTATATGGCACAACAGTCAAGAAGATTCAAACTAAAGGCAATGTTTATGGCCTTAATAGGGAAGCCACTGTATGACACAAGTGGGGGACTCATACATGATGGGAAGTATGGCATATTCCCATTCACAGTCAAAGAGTTAGCAAAGAAATCAAGCAAAAACAGAGCAGCAGGCACATTGGTAACCAAGGCACTCCAAAATGTCAACAGAGATGTTATAAGGGACATGCTATTAACAAAAGTCATTCCAGCAATTAAGTCAAAATGGCTAGAAAGTCTACCCAAAAATGTCATCATTCTATGGGACAATGCAAGGCCTCACCAAGTTCCTAAAGATGCAGAGTTCATTGCAGCAACCACATCAAATGGGTTCAACATTCAACTGGTCTTCCAACCAGCACAATCACCTGATCTAAATGTGTTGGATCTAGGGCTATTTAGGTCAATGCAGTCCTTGCAATATCAATCCTTCCCTAAGGACCTTGATGAGCTAGTTGATAAAGTGCTTGAGTGTTATAACACATTCAAGGCCCAAGTGAACAAGTACATTTGGGTGACTTTTCAAAGATGCATGATTAAAATTCTCAAGGCACAAGGTGGTAACAAGTACAAAATACCACACATGAACAAAAAAAAACTTGAAAATCTGGGAATTCTACCAGATCAAGTGCAAGTGAGAAAGGAAGTTGTGTTGGATGCTGTGGAATATCTAAACAGCATGTTTAGGCCAGCCAATCAAGGTACTCAAGGTGCACTAGAAGACATGGAGGTTGATGCAGACTAGGGGACTCAAAAAACCATTGAAATTAGGGAAGGTGAACAACACTGACTGCCACACATAACCATCTAGCTTTTTTTGTTTTTTTTTTTTTGGGTTGTTTAAGTTTATGTGCAAGAATAGGTGGTTAGGTGTATTTTGTTGATATTAGTATGATGCAAGCATGAAAGGCAGTCAGATGATAGTATTTTTGTACCCCCTGTATAATTGAATGAACATGACAATGACTTTTGATATGTGGGTAAGTGATCCATCAGTAGAGTTTTCACATTGTTGAATACAACACTTCAAAGTAGAGGTACCTCAAACAACAATCTCAACCAGGAAATTATGTGAGCAAAACTCTACTGTGAAGTGACATTCAATGGAGTCCCTTCATCATTTGGATTACAAATAAGCACCCAATTTTTAAGAAAACTTAGATGGGGGACTCACAACTTGAGTGCATCATAAGAAAACCAATTGAGACTCCTCTTTCAAAACACATATAGGGACTGAAAATGTAGCCCTTGCAAACCATATTACATACTAGCCTCATCATTCATCAATCAAATTCCCCTTATAAAATACCATTTCCAACATGATAAACAACAACTATTCAGCCAACACCAATTCTCAACAGCAACCCACAATAGACCAATCAAGTCAGATGTTAACATAGTATACATAACCAAGCAAAAGACAGCATACTCAATCTTCAACCAACACCAATTATCAACAGCAACCCACAATAAACCAAGCAACTCAGATATGATCATAGTATACTCAACCTAGCAAAAGACAGCACACTCAATCTTCAACCAACACCAATTATCAACAGCAACCCACAATAAACCAAGCAAATGGCATATGAACATAGTATACCCAAGGCACCAAAATACAACACAATCAATCTTCAACCAACACCAATTATCAACAGCAACCCACAATAAACCAAGCAAATAAGATATGAACATAGTATACCCAAGGCACCAAAATACACCACAATCAATCTTCAACCAACACCAATTATCAACAGCAACCCACAATAAACCAACCAACTGAGATATCAACATAGTATACCCAAGGCACCAAAATACACCACAATCCAACAGTATGGAATACATAATAACAATAGGGGCCAAAATTAATTCCAAAAAAAAATGGTGAAGACCACAGATCCAATAACCAACCAAACAACAGCATCAACCACCAGTAACCAACAATTAAAAAAATCACCATCAAAAATCAAGGCAACCAACACAGTCATGAACACATATCCAACATACCAGCATGTATATTGACAGAAAAAGGGACTCAATTAACAAATTAAAGATGTTAGGGTTAGGAGTCGTTACGCAAGTTGTCATTTGAAGGGTTGAACCTTAGGGTTCATCCGCCTCGCTTCATCAGCCTCAACTAGAGGGACACCAACAGTAACCTTAGGTGGAGGAGTAGCAGAAGTCGCCGCCATGTCCGGGTCATCGTTAGAGGACAAAATCACCTAGTCCTCGTCAGGTATGCCACGGATCCGCCTCAAGGCCACCCTCGCCGCCTTCCTGGTTGCCCGGATCTTTGTTGGTGGCCTTGCCCTCTTAGCTTGGGGGTTGTGGGTTGCAACAGAACTTCCTTCACCGCTTTCAGACGCCGGATCTACAGCCATACCACTGAAATCGAGGGTTTTTTTGCCTTTTGACTCACCCTGCCCCTCTCTCTTCTCCTCCTCCTCTACGCTCTGAAGGACTTGGCCCAAAGCTTTTTAGGTTTCAGAAGTACAGTAAGGACCAACCTCACCGGATTCGTAAAACCAGCGAGGAAAGGGAGATCCGGTCTCAAAGCAGTGGATGAGGGAGAGAATCAAATTCTCCTCGCCCTTGTCGTTAGTGGCTATGTATGCATCACGTAAAGGTCAAGGTTAACCATGGTCTTTTGGGACTCGATTTTATGGAGATCTGACTTTAGATTTTCAGATCTACAGAGGAAAGGTGGAGAAGAAGAAGAATGAAGAGGAGAGAGGAATACGAACAGAACGATGCAGAGGATGAACTAGGGTTCATCTTCTTAATCTTGATGAACAAAAGGGGAAATCCAGGCCGCATTAATTGTTGACAGTTGGGAAGTGGAATTGAATGTGAGTAGGTGAGGAGAATCAGAAAACAAATGGAGGGAGTTGTTATGTTAATGTAATCAGATTATGTTAATGTTAATGTGATTAAGCAAACATAAGGGCAACAATTAGAAAATCAGAAATATAAAGTGAGGGTAAAAGAGTAATTTTAAGGGTTTTTTTTTACTAATAAAGGAAATAAAACAGATAGTTGCACATAACCCTGATCGGACAAAAATGGCAAAAGTTGCAGATAATATTTAACGGAGGGAGTATATATATATATTCAAATATGAGAACCTTGCTAGTGTAGCTTATGAACAATAACACGGTTACTGTTGAAAATGAATAGTGATAGGACTTTTTTGTCCTTTTTCCAGCTTTGTTCGGCAATGCTTTCCTTCACAGCCATGTATCGTATGACTCCAATTTTTCATTCCATTTCATCAACCTCCCTTTCTCTCTCATCAATGGCGATTGATCCTCTCCTAGAATTGAATCAACCAACTGTTCACTCAAATTGAAGGAACTGTATCAAGTTCATGGTCCTTTAATTAATGAATTCCAACTCCAATTTCTTCATTCTCAACCGAATTACTACAATTAGGGTAAAATTACCCAGTTCCAGATTGTTCCAGCCCAGTCTGCTGCTGGTGTTTCTGGCGACGAAGAAGATGAAAATGCTGACGAGGAGTAGAAAAAATCGAGGGGTTATGAAAATTAAGATGCGGATGAAACCCTTGATAATAGAAATTCGAATTTAAGGTTTGAGGAGAGAGAGAGAGAGAGAAAGGAGAGCGAGAGTGAGTAATCTTGCTAATTGTGGTTGTGGTGGGGTACAGAAGATCAGATGGCGGCGATAGCGGGATGAAGAGAGAGAGTGTGAGAAGGAGGTGAAGGAGGGAAGAGATTGTGAGGAAAAAGAGATGGTTAATGTTGGCGGTGTTGGCGGTTTTGGATCAGGCGGAGGAGGAAATCGTCGCCGCCGGTCATGTTGGTGGTGGGTTTAAGGTGAGATTTGGGGCTGATTATGATGGGATCATGAGTTTCATGCCTCTATCTTACTCCAAAAACCCAATTGTTCACCAATAATCCCCAATTTTTTGCATCAAAATTTCAAAGAATCACAAAACCCCATCAATCAAAATATCAAATCATCATTTTGTGGGTTTTAATTGGCGGATTTTACGAAATTCGTGTAAAATTGATACCTAAATGCAGGATCAGCTGATATCTCTGGCAGATGCGCGTGGAAGTCTATAGTAAGAGCAGCAACCAGCAAGAGTTGGAATTCTGATTCAAATTATGATGTTGGTTTTGCTTTTGTACTTGGTCATGTTTTGCGTCGCCATAAATTTCACTATCTTCCTGAAGCTAGCGCTTTTCTTTTGATTGGTAGTATAATTCTCCCTTTTTTGCTTTATTGAACAGGGTATTTTAAAATTAATACTGCATGTGTTGAGTTTTTTTTTCTTGTCAATTTCGAATCTTATTTGCATGATTTTGGTCCAAAATGGAGTGTCAAAGTGTTGTTGTATCTGTATTGGAGTGTTGGGTATTTGTTGCGGGTACTTGAAGTGAAATGAAGAGTTAGGATAGCATATATGATCCCGAGTTTACAGACACTGCAATTAGTAATTAGTTTTCGATGTTTGTTTTTGATGCTAGAACTGGATGCAATGTCTGCTATTTATGTTATAGTTTTGGGTGTTATTGGTGATCTCATTCAATCCTTTTTGGTACCCTTTTATGCCTGATATTTGCCGGAATGAAGTGTATAAGTGTTGTATCTATGCTTGAGTGATGAGAATCCAATATGGGTACTTCAGGTGAATTGAAAGTTTTAAGTAATGTAGATGATCATGGTGCCTCTTACAAGTTGTACAAGGAGTCGAGGAGGGTTCAACTTTATGGGTTTTGTTCTTTATTAAGGTTTAATTTTAATTTTAATTCACCAATTCAGAACAAACGTATTAGTTTTCTTAAGGTTTAGAACCTAATCGTATATATTAATGATGAAATGGTTAGAAAATGATATAAACAGGGGGGGTTGGAGAGAATAAAAAAAGATTTAGTTATGAAAGTAGAAAATTAAAGAACTTTAGATTGAATTGTTTTGTTTGTTATTAGAGTTTTCTGTTTTGCTAGAAATTATTCTTTGGTGATGGAGTATTGCTTATTATTAGGAGTAATAATATTAGAATTTCCTACAAAGTACGGAATGTTGCTTACTATTTGAATCATGTGTAGTTTCTTATGAAATATTGATCTGATTCTTCTGTAAATAAATAAGGTATCTATCAGAGAAAATGTACACTGGGTCACTGGCCATATTGTTTGCCGTTTGATTTGCGATTCTAGGACTTGAAATTGCCCAGGTTTGTTCTGAACTTTTGCTTATTTCTTAGGCATTAAATAAAGTCCATGCAACTAAACACCAAGTTTTGTATCTTGCAGAAAAACACCACTACTTGCTCCCCTGCATTCTGGGTAACCAATCTATGTCATATACCCCTCCATAGTCCATACTCTACTGTCTATATGCCTAAGATCTTGAAATAATAAATCAATTATTTAATCATCTCATTGTCAAGTTGTCAACAATAAGTTGAGAGCTAATTAAATTATGCCAATTATTATACTGCAAGAATTTCTCCACTTGACGTCACAAAAGCAGGCAAACCATCTGCATGTATATCGCCTAAAGCAAGTTTAAGTGTTTGACATGTCTTGGGAACTATTTTTAGACTTATTGTAAGACCTTTACAGGGATCTTGTGGGTTGGATAATTGGATTTCGACCAGTTTGTTTGAGGTTATGTGTTTTTTAATGCTGTTGAAATCATTTTCAGATAATTGCCTTGTTGTGATAAACTTTGTAATTTGGTAGAAAGTCTTCTCTTGCTCTTCTCTCCCTCTTTAATGGTAATTTGTTCAATTTTAAGTGGGATTTGTATATTTTATAATTTGCTCAATTTTCCTGTTTAAAATGTAATTTGCCTTGTTTTACTGGTTTTCTTTGGTACTTATACTTTGTTGTATATATAGTGAAATTATTTAGTGTTTTTCCAATTAGATACTATGTGGTTTAGGCTGTATTTAATGAGCTCAGCAATATTTTGGAGCCCGAGAAGCCAACTTACACTCCAAAGAAAGGAAACCTATGCATCATCATGTTTGCTGGTCTACAAGGTATGTTGAATGTTAAGGTGTAGTGCGGTCTACACTAAATTGTTGGAGTACTGTTTTTCTGTTGTTCTTTCTAAAAGGAGGCTAATACACAAACTTGATCTTGATACTATGTATAATTTTGCCGCATGCCTAAATGTTCATGACCAGGAGAGGGGAGGTTAGGAGGGGAGGGGAGGGGGGGGGGGGGAGGGGAGGAGGTAGGGGGTGCTTTCATTGACATTAAAATTTTAGGATAAAAATATTGTTCATAGGCAAGCAACCAACTATTGTTTTAATAAATATCCATTCAAAGGAGGGACTGAACCAAATGACGTGAATGGACACAATAAGGAAGCGTCTTAAAGTTTACAAATAATCAGCCCTGTCTTAGATTGTTCGCCATATTTTCTTCGCTAATGTAAAATACCAAATTTACCCTTGGCTGATCGGGATACCAATCCTTTATACAAGTGTTGTAGATTTGATTTTGCTTCTTCTAATTTTGATGGCATTATTATTTTTTGTATACAAAAAATGGTATTTGGCATGGACTAATTCTAATCAAACATTTTTAGTATTTGGGCTGCCTCTTCAATTAAATTAATTTGATATAGGTTAATATTGAATTAGGGTTTGATTTTAGGAATAAAAAAATACAGAATGTTAGTATGTATCCTGTGACATGGGGGAGTACAAAAGTGGAGTTAGTAATTCATTACAAAATTTCTTAATTTGAATATTTACGCTGAGTGAGACGATCTAAAGTATTGTGCATGTATTTTCAGATCCTATACGAATGAAAATATACTTAGATTATACTATGTACATAGTAATAACATATAACTCAGTCAATTATGGGATTATTTGATAAATCAAACACAACTTTCTTTTGGAGTACTTGAACATGAGATTGTGCTTGCATCTATAATCCTTATAATTTTGGATTTGTGCTGTTAAATTCATTTTGTTTGCTGTGTTTGATGTTCATTTTAGAGCACTTGGAGATATATAGAGGTTAAAATTATGTTAATTAGGTAAACTTTCTTCCTTGAGCAATAACGATGTGATCACCCACAAGCTTATCATTGTGAAAGATGTATGTCACTAAAATCGATACTTTGTGTGATTAGTCCGAGTTTCTTGCAGGGAAATGGTAGTAATAAGAAGTATTTTAAGATGATTTATTACTCTCTGCACTAACTTTTTGCGTTAATTCCAATGTGGGTACATGTAGCTTCAAACAATATCCGAGGATTTTGAGCTGATGCTTTCTGTGTTTATGCTTTTCTGATTTTTGTAGGATTTTTGCTGCTTTGTATTTTGATTGAAGATAATCAATGCTCACGGGGCATTAAAATAATAATTTAGTTTTGAATATGTATTTTTCCTTTCTAAAATTAGGTGGGGAATTGGAAGGATAAGTATGACTTCATGTTAGCCGACATTTTGAAGCAAAATAAAGTAAATATTTCAAGCATAAGATTTGATCCCGGGGTAAGGACAACTGATTCTGATAGGTTTATAGCTGATTATGAGAATGATCATACTTCTTATTGTTGGTCTGCTTTGTAAAAGTTCAGGGCAAAAGAGAAGGAGACCGAGAAGGAGGCTCTTTAGGGAGTTAAAGCTCAATGAATTCTGAAAGCTCAAAAGGGTTCAGGCTCTTCACTCTCTTGTGGAGTGTGCTGCAGAACATTAAAGCCATTTTGAGCAAGTATTCTTGCTTGATTAATCGGTCAGTCTCCAGCTGAAATTTTAATACAAAGTCAAGCTTATCTTTCAAGGCACAATTGACATCCTTCACAATTCCTGGAGCAATTATACCAGTAATGAGTTGTAGAAGTATCATTCCAAATGAATATATAATTGATTCTCAAGTAACTACTCCAGTTTCAAGTCAATATACACTAAGATGCAGTATAATGTTGGCTTTTGATAGGAGTCTCATTTTGTGGATAAAAAAGAAGATTCCCAATTCACCAAGTTTGCTATTAAAATTGGCATTAAGGACCTTAGTGAGTTTTTAAGTTCCCATGGAAAATTGGAGGGTTATTTTTATGAAGATCAAGGCAGAGCATAGTTCTATTACAATGCGAACTCAAGTTTGTCATTGTAAAGGGAGAGCAAAGGGAATATCTATCAAGGTTGATATTTTTCTTCTTGTATGTTTCATTCTCTATTTTTCTATTTCTAACCGGTTGTATTCTGTTGTTCGTCACTGTTATAGCAAAATAATCAATTAGATTCTCATGTGGCCAGTGACATGCATGCTACGTTGAACTTGGATGATGGATTATGGGATATGATTTTGTTGAAACGGCTATCATTTTGAGTCGGAATATGCCAAAACAGAATCATATACGGCTATCCCAATTGATCTCGACAATAGTTATATGATAATTAGTAGTTAACAGTATGAGTTATATTCTTTGGTGTCTTTGATTTCAGGCTGTTAACCTCACAGACAAGCTTCTTTGTCTGAAGTAGAAATTCATGGAGGAGGATCAATCTGAATGACTGAACCACCCAACAGAAGACATATGCAGCATCAAAAAGATCCATGAGCCCATTGTGGACAGACAATCAAAATCGTATGCAGCCTCTCTTTTTGTTAGGTTACTGTTAATTTTGTGGTTTGTAGGACTCATTGTGGTTTGAAGAGCCCATAATTGAATCTGCTTCTGAGAGTAAGGATCACCTAACATCAGTCTTGGATGCAAACAGGAAGACCTGACCTTTGTCAAGAGCGATGTTAGCCATTCTACCCTTAGTGAGCTCTGTCAAGGCATGAATTCTTTTATTTGTTGATTAATTAATAATATACTCAAGCTGGATGAATCCCTCATAGCTTAGTTTTTTAAAATAGATTTTAATTGCTTTGTTAAACTGTTTCAATTATACTTGATTAAGGTAAGGTTCTGGGTTTTGGATTAGCGAGGATTAGCGAATATTGCATTGTTCAAGAATCACCCGATAAACAACACTTTCTCTTTACATACATTGTTCACCATATTTCAAAGCCTTTGTTTTTATCCACTATATATGTCAGAACTGCATCCGTTCTCTTTATATACAGTGTCTTCAATAATAATGGTAAATATGCTCCTGATGACAGGGTTATTGCTGAGCATGAAAAATCAGTAGCTGGAACCAGAAGGGGCTTGACATAGCAATGCCGGGACAAAGAACTGAACCCAAGAGATCTATTTTAAAATCTTTGAGGCTGCTTGATGTGTTTAGTTTATATAGCAAGCTTACTTGTGACTAGCAACTTGCTTTTTAAAGATTGCATATTGTGGTGTTTATTAAATTTACATGTGACGTGTTCTTTACCTTTTGTTTCATTTTACTTCACATTCTGTAAATTTTTTTCTCATATTGTCTTCGCTTAATTTTCTTAGTATTATTTCAGGAAGTTAGTAGTCTACACTGCATTGTTATAGTTACAAACTTACAATTTTGCTTGGTCAAATGGTTTGAAAATCTCATCATACAAAGTTTTTGCAGAAACTGCTTTGCTGTTTCTGAGGTGGTATGAATTTCTTGATACACTTCAGAGGTTGAATATGAGATTTAAAGTATGGAAGAAAGACATATATAATTCATCTACATTGTACTCCACTAGAAGGACATCTATAATTTAAAGTATGGAGTTCTTTATTAAAAAAAATAAAAAATAAAATAAAAAATTAAAGTATGGAGTATATTTTATCTAAAATAATTTCTTGACATTGTTGAAATGGAAGAGGGAATAGGTAAGGCTTTTACAGTGTTTTCAACGTTTAAAAAATGGGAGTTTGTTGTGCTTATGACCAGAGATGTTTTTTCTTTCCACCTTGATTAATTAGTGATATATTTCATATATATAAATTGAAAAAATGATCTAATATTCACATTCATACAAAAGTAGTGTGTCACATACATATGTTGCGAATACCCCACTAGATGTACTTTGAAGTGGGGATTCCTTTACCCTTCCCCCCCCCCCTCCCCCTACTTTTAAAGTGCTTAACCCGTTAACCTAGGCCGGAAGGACATGTGAGAGGTTCTGACCTAATAAAACCCTTCTCCTTACCAACCAAATAAGAATATAAATTAGTCTTGAACCTATCTTACTATAATCAAGATATTTAAATTAAATCAACTTTATTATTAATTGCAATAAAGGAATTACGATAACTTGGGATAGCGCGCGTAACGTGCGCAATACCACAACTAGTAGATTAAAAAGAAACATATATAGAAAGTATTTCTTATAAGTATCATGCAATTATAATACTCTGACCAATAATCAATTGTTCTTTTAGAAATTAGTCAATCAACTTGGAATTTTCATGACCTTACTCAACTTGACATCAATTTGACTCAATCTAGACTCAGCCCAATTCAAAATTGACCCCAAAAATATTCGATGTAACACAATCCAATATGATGAGAGATGAATAGATGCTAACAACACGATATAATAATGACCCATGAATGACTTAACAATGGCCTAATAATAATAATAAGGAAATTATAGAAAATAACACCTCAAAAAAACCTAAATTTTGATTATAACACCACCACAACCAAAAAAAAAAAAAAAAAAAAAAAAAAAAAACTAAACTTTGATTATAACACCACAAAAAAAAACGAAAAAATTGGTTTCAAAACCACCACTTAAATTTTCCATCCAAAAAACTGTTAGTGGGCCCCACATTGTACACGTGTCAATTATTTATTGGATAAAAAACACGTGTCACTATACTATTGGTTTAAAAAAATTAATAAAAAAATATAAAAAAAAAAAGAAAATTTCTTTTTTTAAAAAAATAAAACCCCAAATAACCCAGCCACCACCTTCACCACCGGCGTTTGTTCCCTCTGCCCACCGTCGTCACCCCAACCCGCGCTGCCGACTCCCCTTAGCCGACCGACAAAACCAGGCCAGCCTAGCTGACCACCAGAACAACCCAGCCTCAGCCCTGATTCGATTTGGTTTGGGTGCGGGTTTGGGTTCAGGTGACGGTGACGGTGAGGGTGAGAGATGTAAAGCGGTATTTGGGTTTGGGTTTGGGTGTGGGTTGGGGTTTCGGCGACAGATCTGGGTAAGGGAGGGGAGTTTGGTGATGTTGCTGAGGTAGGTGGTGGTGGCATGATGTTGCGGTGGTAGGAGACAAGAATGGGTGGTGGTTTTCGTCGGTTTTCAGGGAGTGGGAAGGAAAGAACGGGGTGGTGGGGCTGGTTTTCGTCAGTTTTAGGTGGGGACAGAGGATGCCGACGGCCTAAGTTAGGGTGTCAGCTGCTGGGGCAGGTGGCTCCGGCGGTGGGGTTGGGGATAGATTTTTTTTTTTAATTTTTTTTCTTTTTTTTCTTTTAATTTTTTAAACCAATAAATGATTGATACGTGTCAATTAAGGGCCCCACTTAACGGTTTTTTTTGGATGGCGAAGTTAAGTGGTGGTGAAACCAATTTTTTGGTTTTTTTTGTGGTGTTATAATCAAAGTTTTTTTTTTTTTTTTTTTTTTTTTTATGGTGTTATAATCAAAATCGGGTTTTTTTTTGGGTGTTGTTTTCTAATAATAATAATAATAATAATAATAATAATAATAAGTCTCGATATTTAAAAACAAATATTTTCGAATATTGAATTATTTGAAAATAACCACCTATAAATAACCCCTATTTGAAAGTAACCACCTTACTTAAATTTTTTTGTATTTAACCACCATAAAAAGAATAAAAAATATAGTTTTTACCACCACATAACGGTTTTTGTGCAAAACAAGACAGTTCTGTTATTTTTTTTAACATTTTCGAGTTCGATTAGGATCCTTTAGGACCAAAATGATTCCTAAAACTTTAACTGAGTAATGTTTTTGGCTAAAAAAACACGACACTCAAATCGAGACATTTCTTAACCAGTAAAACGAGACATTTCTGTTGCTTTTTTTATGATTTCGAGCACAATTTTGGCCCTTTAAGGCGGAAATGACCCCCCTCATCCTTAAATTTAGGCTCCACTAACGATTCCCTAGATGAAAACCGTCATGTGATGGTAAAATCTATAATTTTTTCTTTTTAAAGGTGGTTAAATACAAAAATTAAAAAAAAAAAAAAAAAATTAAGTAAGGTGGTTAAAATCAAATAGTGTTTTTACAAAGGTGGTTATTCAATTTGGCCATTAGATCATCCATGACCAAAATCCTATCAAACCCGAAAGGGTCCAAATTGAAATTGACCTAATATTGAATCAAAATTTGACAAAATGTAATCAAAGCGACTCAAAGTCATCTGACGCGAACTTGACCCACTCAAGCTCGTTTTGAACCTTAATTATACTCTAATCTTAGTATGAACCAATCTGAAGTTAACTTAATCCTAACCCGGCCTAACTCCGGTAGGTATTGCTCTGTTTCAAAATTAACCTTACCTAAACCTAGGTTGGTCAAGGGGGTAATCTTGACCATTATGACCTAACTAGAACAAACCTTACTCGTCATGGATCAACCCAAACTTCATTCAATATTATTATCTTTACTATATAAGCCAAGAGGGGAGGCTGTGGTGTCCCTCAAAAAGACTTTAATACCCCTCTTGATTTATACTAAGAAGAGGTTAAAAAATAATTCTACATTAATTGTTTTTTTTTATCGTTCATTCATTAATTATCAATCAATTATGCCGCTAATTGATTTTTTTTTTTAAAATAAATGTCATTAAATAATGGAAAAATGGAAATTAATAATCCCACATTTGTCAATTTTGCTCAAAACAATCCCACCTTTTGTAAAATCTGGAAACAATCCCACCTTTAACCCCTATATTCTCAAAATGAGTCTTTTTACCAGATTATCAAGTTATTAACTTGTTGATGAAGGTTAAATGCCACGTGTCTTCTTTTTATTGGTCCTATTTTGATTTTTTAAAAAATTAAAATAAATAATAATAATAAAAAAAAAAAAAAAAAAATCAGCCCCACCCTCTTCCCTTTCCTGTTCCCCTTCCCGAGTTCCCTCTTCACGACCCATCTGAACCAGCAACCCCCACCGCTGCCGGAGCACCCACTGCCGAAGTTAGTACCCACTGTCATTTCCCTTCCCCTTCCCCAGCTTGCCTCTTCCTCGATTCCCTCCCCTTCTCCCTTCCCCTACTTCTACGGTTCTACCCCCTGCCGGAGTCAGTCCCCATTGTCGGACCACGTGGGTTGGGTGGGGGGTTGGCGTTTCAGGTTACGGGTTAGCTGGGTTCTGGGGCTGCCGGACCACGTGAGGGGTTTCGAGATTGGGTGGGTGGGGATTGCTGGACATACGGGATTAAGGTTCTTGGATGGGTTAGGTGGTAGTGTCATGGTGTGGTGGTGGTTATATATGAGGTTGTGGTTATTGAGGAAGCGGTGGTTATGGAGTTTTTCAGGTGGTCAAGGTAGGAGATGAAGGAGGAGAGAGATTTAAGAAAAAGAAAAAAAGAATTACCAATTGAACAAGTTGGAGGTAAAAAGGATCATTTTGAACAGATGAGGGTCAAATGTGAAATTTTTTCTAGATTTCGAAAAAGTAAGATTATTTTGAGCAGAAATAACAAAGGTGGGGATTATTAGTTTCCATTTTTCATTAAATAATTCTACATTTATTTTTGGACTTAATTCATTCAATTGATCTCGTAAGATTATGTCATGATTTACTCCATAGTCTTCAATCAATCATCGTAATTTCATCAATCACATAACTAGGGGTGGTTATTGGGCAGGTCGGTGCGGGTCATTAACAGAGCGGGTCGGTTGCGGGTCGGTTGCGGGTCAAGGTGAATATTTAGCGGGTTAGGGTCGGGTCAGGGTCAATGTGGGTCAGGGTCAAGGTAAAAGTGAAACGGGCCATTAACGGGCCAGTATGAAATACTCCCGTTCTATACAAAATATGGTGCAATTGAACAAAGAAATTTTAATAATAATACTACTCCAGTATGAAATTTTGAACCAGAATTTCGTAAAGATTGTATACAATCAATGAAAACTTGATGCAAGTAACGGGAAAATGTAACAGAGAATATAATAATCAATATTCAATTTAGCAAATAATTGTTAAATTTCAAGATACAGTAGAATGTACCAATTTCACATCAATAATTATCAATCAATTAACAATATATATCCAATTATTATCAACACACACACACACAACAAAAAAAAAAAAAAAAATCACAAAATTTCTCTAACACGAATCAACTAATACTACTACTATTGCAAATTCTTGTATCAGACGGTTTTACTTGAATCGCAATTTTTTGTATAAAACGAATTAAGAGTACAAAACCAAACAAATGTAATTGAAAATTCAAGTAAAAACATAATGAAACAAATCACTTACAAAAGTCCTCTTCCGATGAAATCTCCTAACATTTTTGATGATCAATTTCAAATTGCG